TAGATATATCATTAAAAACGACTATCCCCCAATATGTTATTCATGTGTCAGAAAGATTGTATTTCTAAAATAATATGATATTATCAAGAGCAAGCCATAAGCAGTGGGCACGGAAACTAGATGAACTAAAATCAAGGATCATGATAATCAAGAAAGTGAACTTCAAAAGAAAAAGATAGTCTAAACAAGAAAATGATTTCAGAACTTACAAAGGGAACTTATCCATATGCCACAATAGTTTCACTGCTTCTTTTTTTTTTTTTGAGATAAAAAGGGTAAGGTATATATTAACAAGGTACCAAATGGGGTACCATTGATATGATGGGAAACAGAGAAGCAACTGACTCTACCTTATTAGGGCTTTGCAACCAATGCAACTGAGTTGCTTCTTAGCAAATTTCATGATACCACTGTTAGAAGGAGTTGATATGGAAATGGATCTCGTGTGACTTCCATGAAGAAGTTCCTTGCTCGCATTCTTCAAAATGGGCTCAAAAATTCTTAATAGTGGCTGCAGCATTAATGTTGCCAACAATGAAGTTCCAAAAAAGATAACAAATCAAATACAAACCACATACCCCAAACTAACCTTGCTAATTTGATTTTCAAGGTAGTACTGCGGATCTATTGGTATGTTATTTTCTAGTACGTAGATTGGATCCTCTGACCTCTCGTAAGCCTGATTATCATCAAAATACTCACTTTAAAAACTGAGTTCAATTCATGAACATTTTTCAACGAAAAAAATAAAATAAAATCGCTAGAAACATTACCTTGGCACCTTTTGCAGCTTTTATAATGACATAAGGAACCCGATCTCCAACATTTGGAGCAGTGGCAGGATCTCGCTGTCAATTACAAATCGAATAGTCAAAAGTCTCCTTAAGAATCGTTAGTTATCAGAATTTTATTAATAGTTATACATAGTATAAAATTCATTTTCTTTGTGCTTGCAAAAGGTATAGCTCTACATATACAACAAATTAACAAAATATCACATTAATAACTAGTAGTTAGAATGAGAGTTTCATTATTTGTATTTTGGAACGCTAAGGCAATGTTTGTAATATGGAATTTATTTAGAAATTTGCACTTATTTTAACTTGGATAGATTAGACTAAGACAACAAAAAAGTTGACCTCATGGAATTCTGCATGTAATTGGAACAATACATACCAAATTCAAAGAATTTTGATGCAATTTTGGATGCATCTTTCCAATTCCACATGTAATTCCATATAAAATCACTATTGAAAATTTTCACCATCTTCCAGTTGAACTTAGTGTGAAATTTCGAGTTCATTCCATACAACACAGCCAAAACGTGCTGTAAGTTTAAAGTTTTTGGTTTGGGCTACTATTTTAATAGACTCAACAAAAGTGATATGTTGCGAGCTCAAACCCAACTCTCTCTCTCTCTCTGTGGATGTGGGTTATGGGTTTCAGGAAGGCCAAGTCGCATTGTTATCTTCCCTTGTATTGTGATGGCTTGGAGAATTTGATCTATGCTATTTTATACTTTCAGCATTATCTTGTCTCTTCCCGTCTTGAGTGCTTCTTCACTTCATCCTATGTAGGAGTCAAAGCAAAGAAGGAAGATAGGATGCTTTTGCAATGAGCTCTTTTTGTTGGGTTATGGGTGTTGTGTTTGGAGCTAATGCTGGACTCTTGGATTTTCTGGTGCAAAATAACTTTCTTGGATTCCCTGTGGACCTTGCTCATGGGTATCTTAGGGATGTTTCTTTGGCTATGTTGCAAAGGGTCTAAGGTTCGGATTTGTATCTTCTAATGTGGTTGTTCTCTTTTTCTTTTTTCTTCTTTTTCGTGGCTTTTGGAGGATTTCTATCCTCTGCTTTTGTACCTTTCTCTTTTCCCTCTACTAATATTTCTCTTTCATCAAAACAAAAACAAATTTCACATTAATACAAAAAATTAATGGGGGCCCTGACACTGAATAACAATATAAGCATCTAATCCTAAATTAACAGTTAATTGAAAATTTAAAAGTATGGTTATGACTTCTAACATTATGTGCATAGGCTTGCCAAATAGCATAAAAAGGAGAGCTAACAGCCAGTCCTTTAAGATAAATTTACTGGAAAGTCATATAAGAGTGTGACCCATGGAAACAGCAAAACAGAGGCGTTTGAGTTTGTATAAGAAGTTAATTTCTTTAAGGAACTAATAAGAGTTAGAATTTTTAAAGAATTTTTATAAGTATTTAGATTTAGATTATGAAATTGAAATAATATTATGACCATGATTCTAGAATTATATTGAGATTTATACTAGGAATTTAAATAAAAGATAGACTATGATTCCTGAAATTGAAACAGGGATCTAATTCAATCAGCTTCCCTATAAATAGGCACAGGATAAAATTATTAACTATTAATCCAAAGAGCTTTTCTCTTAAAGATCAGAAGTTCTCTTAAACGAGCCTCATCTTAGGATGGTCAGGCCAGAAAACTGGGAAGCAAGCAACGTACTTGCTTCAGGACTCCATATTAGAAGGCCCTGTGACCAAATCCAGAGCCCAGGATAGTAACACCTAGGTTTTGGTGGATGGACAAGGGTGAAAAGAGAACAAGAGAGCAAGTGAGAAAGATGAATAAGTATTTCTGTAATTCAAAGGTAAATTTTAGAAAAAAAAAGGTAATGATCTCCTTGGTGCAATCTATTTGTAAGTGTAGAAAACACTTTGTACTTTAAAGAAAATGTTCTATGCAAATAAACAAATTCTATAGACATACATGCAGATATGCTTTCGTGAACAGCAAGAGATAACTGTTCAGTATCATAATAGAAAACAAGATAAACTTCTTGGTTACTGGTGTTATATATCATAAACTGAGGTAAACTAAAGATTCAAGAAACGAGTA